GTATCAGGAAGGTGAGCACACAGTGATATGATATGATTTTTTGTTCTTTGATGCCTGATAACTGATCCCTTTGGCACCTTGTGATCACACAAGCTGGTGTGCACCAGTTTTGGTTTTGTGTTTTTTCTAATTTATACCCTCACCATTGGTAACTAAGCATTTTTTAAATCTATATCTTTGCCAATACTTGGTATTGACACATTTTTATAGTGTAGCTATTGAGTGTATAATGATATTTCTTTGTGGTTTACATAATGCCTTCTTAATTACTAGTGAGCTTGAGTTCTCCTCCAAAAGTTTATTGGCCATTTGTATTTCCTCTTTTGAGAAGTGCCTTCCTGGTCAAGTGTTTTGCCCCATTTTTTGTTTGCTTGCCTTTGAATTTCCATTGATTTGTAGAGATTCTTTATATTTACTTATACTAATCCTTTGTTAGTTGTGGGTGTTGCAAATATATTCTCCCATTCATCATTATTTTCCTTCTCACAATCTTCATGTATGTCTATGAATATAAAGTTACTTTTAATACACTCAAATTCTGTATGACAGAGAAGAAAGCCTCATCTGTCTTCAAGGAGCTTCTGTAGGTTTTGAACCGCTGACCTCACGATTAATAGCTCAGCTCATAACCCACTACACTACCAGGACTCCTAAATCTATGTCTTTCCATGTGGGATCTCTTCTAAAGAACATTATTATCATTTCCTTAAATGGCAGTTTCAATTGGTGGCAAACTTTTCTGTTCTGCTTTTGTTTAATATGTATATACCTTTATTCTTTTTTTCATTTGTAAATGATCTTTTTCTTGGATGCAAAAGTCTGAGTTAGCAATTGTTTTCTTTTTATCACATAAAAACGACATTTTACTCTAGTCTGGTTTCCAATGTACTATGAGAAATCAACAGTCTCCATTGAAGGTCATCTTTTTACTTTTGAGGTTCCTTTTGCATTTTTTATATTCTATAACTTTACTATCAGGAGCCCTGGTAGTGCAGTGGTCACATGTTGGGCTGCTAGACCACGGGTCCTTAGGAGGAGGACAAGGCTTTCTCCACCTACAAAGAGTGACAGTCTTGGAGACCCACAGAGGTAGTTCTACCCTGTCATATAGGGTGGCCGTGAGTCAGAACTGACTCGATGGCAGTGAGTCTAAGTTCACTCTAATGAAATGAGATAGAAATGTCTTTTATTTTTCTTCTGCCTGAGCTTCTTAGTATTCTTCAATCTGTGGTTTGGTACTCTGTAGCACATTAGGAAGTGATATCATTATATCTCATTCACTACCTAGTCTTTTTCAATACTACAGCCAACATATATTGAGTCTTATCACTATTTAAAGATCTCATAACCTCTCTTTAAGAGTTTCTATCTTTTGCCTCTTTGTGCTGCATTATTAATATTTTATTTTAACCTTCATTTTAGTTCACAGGTTCTCTTCCGCTGTGTACAGTTGTTGCTACACTCACTGCCGTCAAATTTATTCCAACCCAAAGTGACCCTGAATTTGTTGCTAAACATATCCACAATCACAAAGCTAATTCCTTGAAGACAATCCCCATCTATCTATCCATCATCCATCCATCGATCCCTCCACCTGGCTACCTGCTAATCTCACTGGTTGTGCTTCTCCAGAGAACCCAAAGAGTCCTTTAAGTGGAAAGGGGGTGAATGTGTATTTCATCTTCATTCGGAGAGTATAAACCTTTGGAGCTACAATTTAATTTATCTAGGACTTCTTGTTAGAATCCTCACCAAGAACCAGCACTAATCTCTTACTTCTATCTTCCTGGTTATCCTAAAACCACCAGTACTAAGGTCTAAGTTACCTCCGAAACACATCCCTGGGTGAAAGCAACATTCGCACTCCAATATGTTTCCTAGGTTCCCACTTTACATTAGATTTTTGGCTAGAATCTCTTCTTATTTTGTCAGTTTTTCAAGTCTAAGAACATTGTAAAACAATATATTTACCTAATTTGTTGTTGTTGTTGTTATTTTCAGTAAGATGTGATGGTCCAAATACCATAACATATCGCTACTGGAGATAGAGGTCTGTTTTATGAGTTGATTTCATTATTTGTAAATGCCTTGAGGAAAGAGATTATTTTGTTTTGTTTTCAGCGAGAACCCTCATTCCTAAGAATTGTCTCTCTCTCTCTCTCTCTCTCTCTCTCACACACACACACACAATTGGCACTCACTAAATATTGCTTGAGTAAATTAATTAACTTCTCCACTGCTACTCTGTGCAACAATATACACATGTGGGAGACTTTGAAATGCTAATTCCAAATGAAGCTATGTATCATTCTAGCGCACCACACTGCAAGTCACCATGTATTGCTGAATACAGTCTCCATGCCTTGCATCTGTTAAACACTAAGACAGCATAGTTAGACTTCCAAGTTGTGGCAAGGTGCTCATCCGTTCTGCAATTCATCCACAGCAGGAGCAGTTAAATTAGGTACTATCTAAAGGAGCCCTGGTTGTGTGGTAGGTTACATAATGGACTACTAACTACAAGGTCAGCAGTTCGAAGCCACCAGTTGATCCTTAGCAGGAAGATGAGTCTATGTGCCAATTGACCCACAGAGGCAGTTCTACTCTGACATATAGCTTACTGTGAGTCGGAATCAAGTCTGTGGCGGTCAGTTTGGATTTTGAGATTTGGGGTGGGTGGAGTTATTGTATTGTTTTCTTTAAACTTCCTCCAGCTTTAAATTTCTAAAAGGACTCTATCTCCATCCTCCGTGGTCACGGTGACAACAAAACCAACCATAACTTTGTTGTTGGGTTTGGTTGTCCTTCAGTCAATTCTAACTCCTGGTGGCCCAACGTGTTAAAGGACAACTGCTCCCCAGGGTGGACTTGGCTGTAATCTTTATGGGAGTAGATCACTAGGCCTTTCTTCCATGGTACCCCTGAGGGGGTCTGAACTCCCAATTTTCCTGTTATCAGTCTAGGTCAAACCATTTTCACCATTAGAGACCTCTTCCAAGTAGCCTGAACGGCACAAATAATTAAGTGGTAGGCTGCTAACAGAAAGGTTTGAACCCCTCCCAGAACCCTCTGGGGCAGTTCTACTCTATCACAGGGGATCATCATAAGTCAGCAGTGACAGCCCTTCCCACTCTCACCACTTGTCCGCCCTGTGGTGGTGGCTTGTGGTTGCTGTCACTCAAATAGCGGCAAGGTTGCCCAGTGTGAACGGGTTTCAGCAGAGCTTCCAGACTCAGAACAGGCTAAGAATAAGGGTTCAGCTCAGCTGCTCATTTCTGAGCTCATGTCTGTCGGACACCGGAAGACCCATGAACAGTAGCAGGACACTGTCAGATCGAGTGCCAGAAGACGCCCTCAACAAGAGGGACTGGCACGGTGGCCATCACGAGGGGCTCCAACATGCCAACCACTGTCAGGAGGACGCAGGGCTGGCCAGTGTTTCCTTCCCTTGTACAGAGGGTCCCTATGAATCAGAACCAAGTCCATGACAACCACATCAGGGACTCCTTCTGGCCAGCAAGTTGAGGAAATAATGATGATTTGACCCCACATTCTAAAAGAAGCAAGCCCTCAACTAATCAGACTGTAAGAACACAGTTTTCCCTCTAAAACAGAACTTCTGATCTTGAAGACTAGGAGTCTTCCCATGAAGAGGGCCGCTAAGATGTCTCAGTGGTGCAAATGTTGTCCTCTGACTTCCATATAACCCACTACCTCCTCACTTGACTCACTGCTGTGCGCTCACTGCCTCCTGGCTCCCAAGAATGCCCTGCTCCTACTTTTTTGCTCACATTTAAGGATCAACCACACATGCTTCCTCAGCTTGTCCAGGACCAGGCTGAGACTGCCCGGTCTTTCAACAAGACAATACTGAATCCTTGGACTCTAAGGGAGGAGAGCGAGGACAGCATCTATAAGCATACGGTCAAAGGCAGGTGGCCCCTCAAGGAAATTACCATGAACAAGATGGAAGCAAAGTTCATCAAGTAGCCTGGGAAACGGTCTTTCCAGCTCAGCTTATCGTCATCATCCTGGGGAGAAACAAGGAAATAGAGACGATGAGAAGGTGTGAGTAGCAGATATATTTTCACTCTTGGTGTTGCACAATGTTGACCATTTGTCACTCTATACAGATACTGTTCGGGTCTCTGATCCCAGAACCTCCGTATCAGCCCCAGATCTCGTAATTCTGTGACTGCCGGGTGAGCTGGCAGGGCCTGGAGCAACAGCATGAAAGGGGGATGTAGTCTGATGCTACACAGGCTGAGCTGAAGTTCTAATTCAGCCACTTAGCTGTGGAAACCTAGACGCATCTAACCCTGAACCTCACTGAGCCACTAGTGTGTTACCTGTAACATGGGCACAGACGTTCCATCTGTCCCGGCTACTGCATGGGTAGGTTTGTTTGTTTCTTTTGGTTTCAGGAGAAAGATGTGACGATATTAAAGCAGCAGGTGAATGACAAATGCAGCCAATCACAGGGCAAAGTCCTAGAACTAGACCAGCCTCTAAATATGCTGTGAACGACTGGCCTTAGATCCAATTTGTTGTGCAACTAGAACCCTTCTGTGGTATTAACCTTTTTTTCTCCAAAGTGATTCTTTTCTTCTTTGGTCACAAAAGCAGACAGTTCAGGGTACACATGACAGTGATGCCCTTCAGTCTGTCTGGTGGAGACCACTACCTTTTCTCCCCCCAGACTAGGTCCAACCCACCCAGGCAGCTCACCCCAAGACAACCAAATCATTGGCCCTACACTTCCTTGAACACAATCTTTTTGCAGGGCCCTCCATCAAGCACCATAATAAAGCTTTCTGCTGATAAATCACCTTATACTTCCAGTCCCGGCACTTGATTTCTCTGAGTTAAAGTTCTATAAAATTAGGATCCTAAGCAAATGGAAATCGGTTACCATATGCCCTAGCAATCCCCCTCCTGGACATATACCCAGAAGAAGTAAGAAACAGAACACGATAACACATCTGGACTCAAATGTTCATCACAGTGGAGCTCACAATTGCAAAGAATTGGAAACAGCCTAAATTTCCATCAACCAAAGAATGGATTAAAAACTCTGGTATATATACATACGATGGAGTACGATGCATCCCTTAAAATGCAGCGATGAGCCATGAAGCACATCGATACATGGGAAGAGTTGGAGGAAATTATGCTCAGCGAAGTAAGCCAAGCACAAAAGGGCAAGTACAACATGAGTCCACTGAGGTAAGCTTAAAAAGCACAAGGGGCAGAGGGAAAAAGTCACCAAATGCATAAATTCCTGGGGCAAGGTCCAAGCACCCTGGCAGGGGTCAGACCCAACCCAGGCAGCCAACAGCCAACTGAAAAGGAGGGGGGAAAAGGGTTGGGGACAGGAGACGTGGATAGTGGGGTGACAGGGTACTAATCCACACACAGGGAGGGTATTGTTCATGTCTCCACATGAAAGCAAGAAAGGTACCAGACCTCAATCTGGGGTGCCAAACCTTGAGGGCACATGCCAGCACAAAGCAGCAAACTAACAGAGAGGTCTGAGGGGCCAACCCCAGTCCCAGCTAAGGCGAGCACCTCCCAAGAAAAATACACTAGAGAGGACAGCACTGAAGGTACAGTCTGGGGAGAGTGGCGGGTCTGCCCAGACCACACGGGAGATCACTAAGAGGTAGAGAGAGAGAACCACATCCTAGCTCACAAGCCTTGAGAATGACATTCCTGCTTAGAGCAGCCAATGCAGAGAGGACCATGGGGCTGGACCCACTCTGAAACAAAACACCCCCTCACTGACCCACAGTGCTAAAGAAAACAGCACTGGAGACACAGTGCAGGAATTGTGCCCCGTCTGACACCACCCCCCTATCCCCTACACACACACACACACACACACACACACCCCAGAGCGAAACACGAGGGGAGTGCAACAGAGCTGCAAGGGGAGCAGAGCAATGACGCTCCTGAGGAACCCCAAACATAGAGTTTGGAATCGGTGGGCAGGGCATGGCACTTCATCAGATCGGATTAGAGAACAGTCCGAAGGGTGAACAGACAGACCTGGAACTATTTACAGGGTTTTGGTTTGTTTCTTCTTTCTTCTTTTTTCTCCTGTCTATCCATATAAGATAGGCAGGATAACCAATCTCAAGGAGAAAATAACAGGGCCAATGGCTCTGCAGGGACATGGGAGACAAGGAGGTAGGTGAAAGGGTGGGTTGAGCCAACAAATCAAGGGACAAGGGAACAGTAAGAGATCTAAAATTGAGGGTAAGGAGGGAATAGAATGCTTGGTGGGGTTGATCAAGTACAATGTAGCTGGGAGAAAGTTCTGAGAGTTGAATGAAGGACGAACATGATAGTGTGACAGGAGGAAAGTAAAAAATAGTGGCCACTTGTTT